TGGGCCAATCATATCTAACAAATTAGGATCTACAATGTGCATATCTGCGGCCAATAATATAGAACTTCCGTCATGCTACGTACGTAGAATTAGTTTTTATTTCTTGAAAAAAATCAAAATTAAATTTTTTTTTATTTTTATTACGGTCGAAACAGTTTTATTTTACACTTTCGTTAAATTTCGACAATAAAATTGAAATTTAAGTCTCGCATTAATTGCATTAATTGATAAACTCCTAAAGCATTTATTCTGGACTATAGTTTGTGACCCTCCAAACCGATCATGACAATGACAACGTGTTGTATCCGAAAAATTTTGCAGGCTAGAAAAGTTAAAATCCGATGATTATTACTAGTAACACATATTTAGTAAAGATATCACGTGCCAGAAAACTTTAATACTGTATGTCGATCGAAACAATTATTCAAGTACTTTTTGAAAATTAAACTTTGATAAATCTAACAAAAGCTTTAGTGTCAAGTTATATACAATTCGACAAATCATGGCAGAGTATAAAGGTGCATCGTCAGAGGGGCAGCGACAAGCCATGCTGGAGAAGCAAAGAGCAAAAATGTTGAGCGAGTTCGAAAAACAACGGGAAAAGATCGCTAAAGTGAGTAAGTTGCTCTTCTTTTTGTTTTTGCCTTTGTCCAAATTTGTGGTACTCTCTACTTACACAGCATGCAAAAACGATTAAAAACCTTTTTTTTTTTTTTTTTTTTGAAATCTTTACCGTTTTTTTTAACTTACATTAAATTTCTACTTTCAAGGATAATCAAGTCAATATAACCAACAGCAAATTCGTGACACAGTATGATGATGTAGAAGATTCATTAAAGAAAGAAACGATTGGGTTGGTTAAGCTTGAAGATTTTCAAAAGATCAGAAAAGAATTACAGGTTCAAAAAGAAAGAGAGGCTGCAAGAACTGCTGAGTTAAAGTATGTATTCCACTTTATACGATTTTTATACGCAATTTTTATACAATTTTTGAAAATACATATAACCTTTTTATATGATGCCTCAATTATCTAATTAGAGATGACAAAATTAAAAAAAAGCGTAAAAAGAAGGAAGAAAAAGTTAAATTATCATTTAATTTGGAAGATGCTGATCACGAAGAAGAAGATAATGCTATCAAAAGTGAAGGTACATATCAAGTAGAAGTCATTATCATTGTCAATGTCAGAATATTTGATTATCAGTCACAGTAAAAATTATATAATATTAATACCTAATCCTAGGAGAATCGGATATAGCATCAAAGAAAAAACCAAAACTAGGTAAAAATCCTAACGTAGACACATCATTCTTGCCTGATCGTGATAGAGAAGAAGAGGAACGTAAGGAAAGGGAGCAGCTACGACTAGAATGGTTACGGAAACAGGAAGAAATCAAAAGTTTGGATCCGCTTTGTGTATCTTGTGTAATTTTTTATATATAGCTCTTTATTAATTCAATCA